CCGTAAGTAAATTGAATACATCCTAGTAACTTTTTCATGTAGCCAACATTTTTTCCCCATATGAAATTATCCCCTATTAAAAACTATTAAAAAACTAATTACGAAGTAAATTAAATGAAAAGTATCATGAAAATTAAGTATTATCTAATTTGACTTAACGCGATAAACAGTAAAAAAAAAAATGTGTTCCGTTTCCGGTCACAACGGAAGTCGTAGAGAAATACATAACACACACGTAGTACATGCAACACTTTCGTTGATGTTGAGGTCGAACGTGACTTGGATTCCATTTTTTCAGATGGAATAACGGTCGAGAATTGCGAAAGGTTAATGTTTTAACATCGGGTGTTTCGTTATTATTAATCGATATCAATATTTCACGAAAAAAAAGAAAAATCAATCACAAACATTTATGAAATATAGAAAATCTGAAACAATGGCCAATATGTTTCACGTTCAATTAATTAATCTCGATGTAAATTCGAAGAAGAATGTAGATGTAACGCGATTCATAAGTTGCATCTAGTGGTAATTGCATCAGAAACTTGATTGCGTCGTACGCGAAAAAAAACTTTCAAAGATAGCGCTGTTAATCGTTCCTGTCTGCAGATAGCGATACTTTCTCTCGGCAGATTTCTCAGGGAAAACAAAAAAAAAGCTTCTTTCTTTTCTTCTTTTTTTTAACGCGCGTCAGCGGAGCGCATAGACATTGTGCTTAACTATGATGCTCTCTGATGTATTATTTATGAAAAATTGAAAAGTTGTTTTGCAAAATTTGCATAGAAACCTACGACACCATTCCGAATGATTTTTCTGATCAAAATGAAAATACGAATTTGAATTATTTCAAATTTTTTCGAAGAAAAAAATATATATAAATTAATAAATTAATAAATTTGTATAATTATTCATTATTTGCATAGAAATTTATATTATTTCGGTGGTGAGAGAATGAAAAAGAATGAAAAATTAATTCAATAAAATAAAATTAATTAATTGAGAAGTTTCGAAAAATTAAAAGTTAAAGAATTGATAAAAATTTCAAGATACATACGAGAGGATGGAATCGATTCTGGCACGGTTGTTTCCGTTTATCCGCTTATTAAGTTCACAAGATTTCACTGGGAATGGGGGGAATGGGAATAACGACTAGATTCTGTGGAAATAAAATGTCCATTATACTGTAAATTTAAATTTAAAATTATGCATATATTATATACATTGATTATTCTGAATAATCATATTATAATAATTATGTATAATACAGTTTCATAATTTTATTATTAGAAATATGGAAAAAACATATGTAAGAAAATTTAATTATTATTTATTAAATGGATATTTACGGGTATATAAAAAAAGAATAAAAAAAAAGATTGTAATATTTTATCTTTCTCGATTAAAAATTTTCTAAATCTAGAATTTTCAGAATAATTTTTATATTAAAAATTATATTTTCATTCTCGGTTAAACGTTCTTTCCAGATAAAATGTACAACATTGTTATTAAGTTAGAATTAATAATTTTTGCATTAATTATAGATAACGTTTAACTTAAATGTACATAACTTTTATAACTTTTCCATGCGTATCGAATGAATTTCTAATGAGATAAGTGAATTCTTAGTATAATTTAAATCTGTAAATAAGACCAATTAATTAAGATACTAATAAGAATATAAATCTTTAGTTAATAATATTTTGATGTATTAAATTAGGGAAAGTTACAGGTATCAATAAAAGAAAGTTGAATTTTTGATGCAAAATATTTGAAACATTTTAGCCTTTATAAATTAGTAACAAAGAAAAATCACTAAATTTAAAAAATTCAAAAATAAATAATTATAAAATTTCTCTTTTCAAGGAAAAAATAGAACCAAACTCTCATCTTTTATCCACATCGTTCCACCATTCTATCTATATGTCTGCAATATCCACAAATTATTAACCACTCATGAAATTTCTAGTTTCCAATATATATTTGCGCGAGAGAAAATTTTCCATCGAAGTTTCTATCTAAAATCGAATTTCATTTCTCGATAAATGTCAGGCAAAGAAACATGATTGACAAAAGAGTATAAAAGAATATCATTGGGACGAGTCAGGTTGCTGGGTTCACTCACGAAACCCGGTCACGTAGCCGGTGCATTCTCCTCTTTTGTTCCGGCAACTTTTCTCGTACACATCAGCTATTTTCTCTCACGATGTTATCCAACGCCGGCTGACCCACCGCCACCCTTCCCCTTCCCTCTGCCAACCTCTCTCCTAACCCTTTTCGCCGACCCATGCCGCACGTGCCGCACCTCAAGTGCCTACAACCGGATCTTATGTAACCGATTGCTTGCGTAACGCTGTCATTACGCTTTTATAATAATTCGCCGCTTCTTGCATTCTAAGGATTAAATAGAATTGCAGGAACAATTCGTGCTCTTATCTTAGATTTGTTGACCAACTTTTGTACACCTGATCGTGCACGTAATGTGGTTAAAAGAAATAATGTTCAAGTTTGATGGTAAAAACGAACGAATGATCGCGAATAGTGATGATTTTATGGTTAAGAGATTTTGAGGTTAGAAAATCGTGTTTAAAGGTGCTCGAAGAATGTTCGTATTTTCGTGGTGTAAATAGGGATGTAGATTTGCGAGAACTATTATGTTCTTATCTTAAACTTATCTTGTATCTTGATTTGATCTTGTACATGATATGGTTAAAAGGGATAATATTTGAATTTAATTGTAAAAGCGAAGGAATGATTGTAAATGGTGAAAATTTTGTGTGTGAAAATGTTTGAAAGATACTTGTATTTTGTAGTGTGATTAAATTTGTGAATTTATTGAATAAATTAATAATAATTTGAAATTTTTGTCTTATATTATTCGTAGAAATTGTATTTTTATAATATAAAAAATATCTTTGTATCATCTATTACCTTAATTATATTTTATTTAAAAAGCTTATTTTGAAGTCGTAATTGTTCGTATATATTTCTTATTTTTTACGTGAATTTTATTTACTTATATTTTTGTAGACTATAGAATGATCGTAAAATAAATTTAATGTAGTTTTTGAAATTATTTAAAAAAAATGAAATTCAAACAAATATTATGCGTGTCAAAAATATTAAAAACGATATAAGAAGAATAATTTAGTATTACCTCGTACGTATTTATCATCGTGGCTTGAACAATTAAACAGAAAAACAAACGAATGTGCATCCAATTAAAACGCTGAACTCGATAAGCGTGTTAATTAAGAAACAATTAATTAGTAACATTCCCGCGTTTGTCTGCGAAACGACGTGCCTTTTTACTCCATGCAGAGGCCATTCATTCGACTCGAGTCACGTGCCACGCGCTACCAATTCCTTCTTTTCATTTCCATTTTATTTACACTCTGTTTACTACTACTTTACATAGTCAACTTTGAGAAAACATTTTTGCAAAAATTGTTGAAACGAGTCTCCAATTGCATTGTTAATGAATACTTTATATATATACTTTATATATGTACGAAAGGTTATGTTAACAATAAGAAGGATGAAAGATCTTTGGATTAATGATTTAAACTTTAAATAATAATAAATTTTATCATTTTATTTTTAGAAATATTATTTTAAAATTAGATATCGAATATAAATAATCATGGTTAAATTTCACTATTTTTATCTACATTGAATAAAAACAAGAATTCTTAAATAAAATGATTTGAAATTATATATTTTTTTCTTCTTGTATTTTTAAAATAGATTCCACTTTTTAATCATCATCCTTTCGAATGAAATATTTATGAATATGCACGAGCAGAGAATAAGTGAAATTGGCACTAATCCTTTATCGATGAAGTAGAAATGTGAGTGTTATTACTTCGGGATAAAAAATGTTATGCTTTGTTCACACTGATATTCGCGAATATTACTAGAAATGTAAATACTGAATTCTGAGAGTATAAGATAAATCGGAAGAATTCGAGGTTGAAGAAGTTTCGGATACTTTCGGAATATTGTTCGATATCCTGAGCTTCGTCTTCGAACTTCGGTTTTTCTCGAAGTTATCCGATTTGTCTCGAAGTTAACCCGATTCTATACGAAGTTTTCCGATTTATACCGAAGTTTGAACTCTCGAGTCTTGTAAATTTCTAGTCATTGCTTTCGTTTGAAAATGTCTCGCAAGTAATTTTAATCAAGTTTTTCTATTTATTCTATTCAAAGTTTGAATTTTCGAGTTCTATAGTTTTAATCTCGAATTTTAATCAATATGAATGCGATGAATTAGATATCTTAAGGAATTTGGATTTTGCAAGAATAAATTGTGTGAATCGATATATAACCTCGATGCAACTAATTTGAATCTTCATATATTTTGATCGATATCTCGTTATTTTTGCTTATTATTGGAAGTGTTTCATTGAATAGAGTTGCGAGGTTAATCGGGGAAAGTCTGCGAGTTGGTTGAAAGTTCCAGAAAAATCTTCGATGCTCATCGTATTCACGAATACTCTTATTGGTTGACCCACATCTAGCCTCACTGATAAATTTCAAAGCAACTTTAGATGTATCTAACTAATTCGCCTCAGAAACGAAACGATTATTCCGGTTCATCTTAGTATACATTTGAAAGAAATAATAGTTCACCATTTAAAGAATTGTGGATCTCCTTGAGAATTTAGTTAAAAAACGATTCTCAATCAATTTATTAAATCGATTGTATTCCTGTTATTTTGCAATCATCATAATTAAGTTTCCAATTAAACTCGTCGTTATGTTTTATAAAGTGTAGTGCAAAGTATATAAATGATCCGCGAATGTCTTTAAGCAGTGTCAAAGATTTGTACAAGTACTGTAAATTAAAAGTGAATGAAAGTGTCGAATATCAAAATAATACATGTAGAAATTGATAATACATATGTTGTATACACACGTGAAATCTTTAAATATCTTTATATCTTAAATATCATTTGCTATAAATCAATTTATAGAAATATTCGAATACTCATCAGAGTTCTCATTTACACTTTTTTATATGCTTGCCAACATTTTATATGACCGATGAACACGTTGAGGTAAGTATACATTCAATTGCCATAATTCAAAGATTCTCGGTGCAAATTCTAATCTTCACGCGGATCGACAAGTTGCGCGACCTTTTCATAAGGATTCCAGCGTTACCTCGAAGAAGACCTTTTCTCAATCGCACGTTTTCTCAGTTCTAACGAACATCGATTCGTATTGTTGCATCACCTGTATTAAGGCGGGTGTTAATGTCGTAACGATATAGATAGAATTAGAATTCTCGTGGTAACCGGAGCTGTTTTATATCTCTCGATGGCTGGTTATGTTGTTGAAACTATTCGTAACCGTTCGTGGACAATAAGTCGTAGACGATACGTGTTTCGCAATTGCGAAAAATGATGAAATGCGATCGCGATTGATATACATATCCGCTTAAACACTTTGGCGCCTCGAGCGAATTAAGAGTATTACGATCGTGGTCACCTTTGATGAAATCGATTCGTTCTATGTGCATTTGTATCGTAATATTTAAATTTGATTTTCAGTAATTTCGATTTGATTGTTAATAATTTTCTTAAATCATTGAATTTAATAATGATTCTTTTTTTTATAAATTTTTTATAAATTTTATGAATTGATTCTCATTATCATTTTTAAATTTAACAGAAAATATAAAACTTTTTAAATAATTGAATTCTTAATAATTGCTATTTGTCGTTTTTAATTAAATATTTTGAATTTATTTATAATTTAAGATTTTTTAATATTTATATTGAAATTTGTAAAAAATTTTATATTTTTTATTAAATTCACAATTATTATTCTGTAATTTTAAAGAGATATTCCGCGAGTTTTGAAAGGAATTAATTTAATTAAGAAGATTGTATCTTTACTAATTACAGGTTACGAGTTGTAGTATTACGTAAAGAGATAAGACTTGATGGATGAGTAAACTCTTCGTTAGTTAATTGTCATTTATCATTGAATCTATATGCGATGCAAACAATTTTTTTATCTTTTCTAAATTCTTATTTTTATTTTAATTTCTATTTCATGAAAAATATTACGTTAACGGAATTAATTCATCAAAAAGATCGATGAAACAAAATTCAGAAAGCTTAATAGCAAATAAGATTACATTTCTCACGACAGATGGCAGTCTTTTAACTGGACAAACGAACATTTAGCCTAATTCTCGATTGTTGCTGCAAGTAAACCTATTTTGGAAGTTTAAGCCGTTATTGGAATCGACATTGTTAAAATGAATGGATGCAGGTTGAACAATCAAACAGCTGTGTTGTAAATACAAAGTGGATTATTCTGAAGAGAGCCTACGGCAAATCGAGCTCGGCCACTTTCAATTAACCTTCGATGTATGGTTCAGAAAATCTCATTTAATTAACGTTTGGTGATTGGGATTAGCTGTAATTGCGACGGACATTTAATCGATTACGAGGTTATAAAAGGTCATGTTGAAAGAACAGCGTTGAAGATGTTATATCAGAGAATATAGTGGACGAAGAAAATTCGTAATTAATTTTATACGTTTTTAACAGAAAGAGACATGGTAAATGTAAATTTGATTTTCGATTTGTTTAGCTACTTAATTATTTGTTGGAATTTTTATTTTATAATTATAAATATACACGTACAAAATAATTAAAAATATTAATCTTTATAACAATGGGTAAATGTTAACAATTTCATTCCAATATTTTTTTATTATAATTATTATTTAAATTTATATGTATATAAATACATAAGAGAATAAATAAAGCATAAATTTGAAAGAATAGAATATTTTACTGATTGCATTATATGCAAGTTTTGTGACTTTTCTTTTCCATTTTATTTATTTAAAAGAAAACAGATAATTATTAAATTTTTTACATTATTATTTTCGAAATTATAATATAAGTACAACGTTCACGAATACATACACTGTATCTCACTTGATATAATAATAAAAATTTAAAAAATTCACATATATTAAAAAATAAAATTTCAACAACATTTAATGTACCAATATTTACATAATAGGCACTAATATACATAATTAGGAAATCTTAAAATTAGAAACAACATGTTAAAGCATATACATATGAAAATCAATCGAAACACAATATTTCTACTACTAATTAACATTTACCCACAACTAATTGCAGGCAAGCGTGCTCATGCCCTATAACCTGATATCAGAACAGGTTTAACCTCATCGTTAAACCCTCTGATAATGAGAACATAATTTCAACTAGTAACACGTCTACGTTTTCCATCCTGTTTCTATCCAAAAGGGAATTTCACCATGAAAACAGCTCAGTTGGTGAGAGTTGATCACGTATCGAGGCAAAAAGTTACTGGTTACTTCATCGACTCGAATATGGAGCGGCTAAAAATAGGAAATCGATGGTTAAGTACATCGAGTTGGAAAATTAGGATCTCGAAGGAAAAGTTGACTTCCACGATTTTAACGATTTTAACAATACTTGTTTCGCTTTTAGAGGAAAAAAGCATCGTGATTAGAACCTAACCTATATCTAATACCGTTAATGGATGATGCAATGATAAGTAAGAAAAGGAGGAAAAAAATGATTCGAACGTGAAACTAAAATGGCGGATCAAAGTAAAATGGTGATCGATATTTCGTTCAAATCAAGTAATATCTCTTTATTAATTCGATCGAATTATAATATTGATATAATTTATTCGATGTCAAAGATTTTTTCACATCAATGATATCGTGTCAATTCACAGATAATTCTAGATCGTATAAATTACTTTCTTTCTAATATCGATTTATTATATCTCGATGTAGATATTCAGCGAGATAGATAGAACCTCTTTTAAAAGGAATTTCCGTGTTGAGAAAGGTCCAAACGTGTAACGACCAATTTCACGGTGGGTCAACCTGTTTGAAACTCGATCAGTGCGACGATAATGCGATTTATTCCGGATGCTTGTGAGCTTTCAGCGAACTGTTGCTTCCTCGAGGTGTGGAAGAAGCACGTAGATGTGGTTTCACGCCTGTGATTGTGGTTTGAGAAGAAAGGGTAGAGTAATAGTTCAAGGCTTGATTCGAGTTTCATTGAAAGTAATTGATGGACTTTTTTTATGCAAAATGTACCATTAATTTATGTTCAAAGTATAAGATTGTGATATTTGAGGGATAAAAATTCCGTGCAAATTTAATTTTTATCAAAAGATAAAAAATTCGCAATTCGGTGATCACGTTAGAATTGAAACGTTTTTGTATCCTTTTTTTGATTATTATTTTGATTATTACAACAATGCATAAATAATATAATTAACTATCTTAACAAATTTTAATTATTATTTCTCATAAAGTTCTCTAAGTAAATTTAATTTCAAATTCAAGAGTAGAATGAAATAGTCAAACATAAGCAAATTTTAAGACAATTTGAAACTCTCTGAATTCCATAATTCATGTCAAATATCAGGAAACGTTCTTTCTCCACTTCCATCAATGCATCGCCAAGAAAAACTCGAACACCACGTATACAAATTAACCTGTCACAGGGCCATCCTCTTCTTCTACTCTCTTCTCAACGATCCATCATTCAGCGTATCCTTTGAAACTCAAGAAGCATACGGTTTCTTCATCTGGGTGGCCAAGTTTTTCTACTTCTCTTGCACTTCAGTCTCACAATACTTGAAACTTGAATCTTATTATTTATATGATATCCATTATACGAGTTTATTAATGTGGATGAATTTTTTTCGATAGATTTTAATGATTTTTGAGTGTGTTATAGAGAAAATTTTGCACGCGAAATCACTATACTTAGTATTAATATTTATTCATTGAGATTTGAACGTTCGTGGATTTTTCACGTGGAATTAAAGAAATATCTGTAAATAGAATGTAAAGATGAAATATAAACTCCTCTAAAATTACAATGATAATGATAATTCAAATATTAAATATAAGAAATATTTTGGATGTTGGTCATCCAAGTTTGTAATAAAACCAATGTATATAAAAAGAAGTTTCAAAATTTTCTATAATTTTGATATTTTAAAATCATCAAAATTTATACGATCAATAAGTTGATCGAGTTATGAAAAGAATGTAACTCGAGAAAAAGAAGACATAAGAATCGAGGAAGCTAGAAATCTTAAAATTAACGAAATTTTCATCCATATAAAACGATGATCTGAAAAATTTGATAAAGCAAATTTATTTCCACATGAAAGAGATGTACTTTAAAAACATGAGGAATCAAGAAACTTATAGTCTAAAGGTAACTCATAGCAGAAAACGATAATTATTTTAAAAATTCTATTCATTTTTTATATATGTTCCATCATACATATTTGATTGAAAATAATTGTTTCCATGTAATAAGGAGGAGAACAGAAGATATTTGTACGTGCTCTAAAAATGTGAGGAATCAAGAAATTTATCTTACCCTAAAGGTAACTGATAGGAGAAAACAATTTTAAGAATTTTATTATTATTATTATTATTATTATTATATTCCATCACGCAAATTTGATAAAATAAATGTTTCCATGTCATAAGGAAGAGAACAGAAGACACTTGCATGCACTTTAAGAATATGAGGAATTGGAAAAACCTGAAGGTAACTCATAGCAAAAAACGATCACCATTTTAAGAATTCTATTCATTTTCATATATATATTCCATTACGCAAATTTGATAAAATAAATCTTTCCATGTAATAGGGAAGAGAACAGAAGATACTTGCACGTGCTTTAAAAACGTGAGGGATCAAGAAATTTATGCCCTAAAGGTAACTGATAGCAGAAAACAATCGCCATTTTAAGAGTTTTATTATTATTATATTATTATTATTATATTCCATCACGCAAATTTGATAAAATAAATGTTTCTACGTGACAAGGAAGAGAACAGAAGACACTTGCACGCGCCCTAAGAATATGAATCGAGAAACCTACACCCTGAAGGTAACGAAGCCCTAAGTGACAGCGGAAGCGAGGATTTTAAGTGCGGAGCCGAAACACATATTTCTGGACGCCGTCTATATTTACACTTGGTGTGCACCTATGCGCAGGAGAGGCGCTGAGCGATTTACGCGTCTGGAACTCCCGGCATTCCGCGCCATTTTCTTTGTGTCCCGTCAATTCTCTCTGGAAGCCAGATACCAGTTTCAAATTCCGTTTATACGCTATATCCTCTCTCTCTCTCTCTCAACTGACTTGCCAATTCACGGTTAAACCCTCCATACACGATTTAAATTGTCCGCCAGACTTGTCTGTCTGGATACGTCTGTCATGGATTTAGATGTTTGGACGAGTTTGAGATGGAACTGCACTGTTATTTTAGCTTGAGCATCTGAGATTGGTGAACGTGTAGAGATTGCAGGAAAGATTGTTGAGATTTGCGAATGATGCCTTGCACGAGGAGTTGTTATTATCTCGTGACTAGTAATGGGTTAGAGAATCACTTGGTATAGATTCGAATCAGTTTAAATAATGAAAATTTTGGTAAAAAATCTTGCTTTTATAAGTTTGCATCTATCTTTTTATCGCTTTCACTTAAATCTTATTAACTGCTACTATTCCATTACTCAAAACTTTTAAAATTATCTTTTAATTAATTTTATCTTGAATTTTGATTCATATTTTTCATCATATGAATGAAAAAGCAATTCAAACTTGTCACTATTTATTCTCTGTGAAATATATGAAATAAGTTTCTTAAATTATAAAGAACGTGTAAACATATATTAAATGCTCATAGATAAATATTTTCAATATTCCATAATTTTATTGGCGAATCATGATATCGATGATCAATGCATCATTCTAGCAATCAATATTATTAGCTGCGAAAAGATATCTTAAACAGGATGACAGACAAGCCATATTATATGTGGTCAACTTTAATCTACGTTTCTAACCGCGTTACATCACACAAGTTCGTCACTAGATCACCTCTAACAACGACCTAATCATAACGACTGGACACGTTGTTTTCAGATTAGAATTCGACTGATCGAGGATAAGTTATGAGATCATCGTTGATAGTTATCAGATGACAAGATTCGAATAATTCTAGAATTTTCTGGCAAAATGTAATCATATTTTAAAAAAATAATGAGATATGATATATCTGTGATTGACATTATAATGTCTTTGGATATACTTTATTCATCTGAATAGAATATTTTAATTAACAATAAGGAGAATGAAATATTTAAAGTTTAAGTAAATTGATTTTGAATATTGATGTATTGTATATCAATGATATATATATCAAATATTCAAATATTAGAATATCAACAATATTTAATGTAAATATTTAAATATTAAAGTATTAAAGCATTAATTAAAATATGATAATTTATGTCATGCTGTCTTTGGATCCATTTTATTTACTTGAACAGAATATCTTAATTAAAGAAAGTAGAATAATTCTCATAAAAGAAAAATAATCCTAATAGAAGCCCTTAATAAATAGTTTTTTCATGAATATATAAAGATATTGAAATATTAATAATATTGCATCAAATATTCAAATACTAAAATTTTCTTTTATACTATTTTATTCCATAATTAATATCTTTGGATCTATTTATTTACCTAAACAAAATAACTTAAATGAAGAAAATAGAAATAAATCTTAGAATAATTCTTAATAAGATCTTTTATGAATATGATGATCAAAAATTCAATTATTTATGATTTCTAAGCTTATTGCTATTGAATACGAATACTTGATCAAATGTGAATATGATCGAAAATATCCGCATATTTCAATTTTCGCGGAAAAAGGAAGAAAATAGACGAATAAAGAAAGATCAATTCGAATAATACCGTATCTTTTCATTTACATAAGAGAATAATATAGAAGAAAAACAGGATATTGTGTTTAGCTCGTCAATTGTTCTCGTTTTGATTACAATAGTGATAGTTCTTCTTTATAGTTAGGTTAGGTTAGAAAAGTTGTAGATTTTCGACGGTAGGATCATTGTTTCGAAAGCTGGCGTTGCCAAGTGACCTGGAAATAAGCCGCGGGTAAAGTGATTTCGTGAAATATTGGACCATGTTTGAGATCAGTGAACGAACAAGAGGAACCATGAATCGAAATCGTTGGCTCGAATCGTCGATTCTTTCTAGTCGATTGAAACGTTTCCTCTTTTTTCTCTCTGATTGAGTAATAACGTGACACATTGTGATTGGAATAGGATTTGAAACGTTATTTATAATTTTCAAGAGATAGAATTGAATGAAGTTATAATTGGAGAATCAGTATCTTTATGTTTAACAGATGAATAAAAATATTTTATTACCATTAATTTATATACTTTACGATATTTATTTCAATAATATTTCACTATATCTATAAGATTTCTATAATATTTAATATTACAATATCATTAATAACCTAATCTAACGTAACTCAATATATCAATATCACAATTCACTATTTCATTGTCTGAATAAAAATTTCACTATATTTCAAAATATTAATATCAAATATTTATGTAGACAAAATTGGTTGCAAAATCAATCTCTTAATAGTTTCATTTAATACTTACACGTAAAGAATAATTAAGCAGCATCGAAACTCTCGAGAATTCGATTCTTGTTCGAAACGATAAATCTCGATTCTTTATGTCGTTTTGCCGGACAATTGTTATACCGGTTTTGATTAAGTTAATTGTTTCTGGATGAACCGATAAGATACGCTATTTATAATGGCATCTTTACACGAAGAATCGTTGCACAGAAGAGAAAATTATCGATATTCAACTATGCGAATCAAAAGTTAAATATGATTCCAGACTTTCCATTTTCTTGACACATACGATTGTATATGCTTGAATAAATTGGTATCTGATTTTTGTGTACACGATATAGTATTAATTATGATTCTTTTGAATTTTTTCTTGAAGATGAACATTTGTTGAAAATGAGATTAATTTTATATATTATCCATTAAAAATTTGGAATTTTTTTTGTCATTGCGTAAAATTTCTTTTTCATTTATTAAAAATTAACAATGTAAATATCGATATTAAATTCATTTGCGTGGATAGATTTTTCACGAAAGAATTTTTCAAATTACGAAATTCTAATTTTTGTTCAAGTTTGTGAATTTTTTTTTTTGTTAAATTAATGATTCTAATGAATAATATTAATAAATAATATTAATAAATAAATGATTCCAAATTTTTAATCAAATTAATATAATTGATTTTTTAATTGAAAATTTGATTTTATATTTTGATCGAATGGTATAATGGTATAATTCGATGGTTACAATATTGTTGAATTTTTTGCGATTATATCTGAAATTGCATTTTTAAATATTTTTTGCACGATTTGTAACTGTTGTAATATTAAGTAATATTATTTTTAATTTTTTATTTATCGTATATTATAGGCGCCCACAAACCTTGAAATTATCTGTTACTTTATTATGCAGATAACATGGCGGATTGCCAGCTTGCGAATATTTTGCAAGCTTTGCTAATTGCTTTAATAACGATCCGTGCAGACATAAAACGTTACAGTTTCCATTGCATGCACTTTGTCTCTCATAAGAAGAGGTTAGAAATTTCTATCAGAAGCTGATTTTTATTGTTGATCTCTTTCGCATTTTCTAACGTACTTTCATTAAATTTTATTAAAGATAAGAGAAAATAAAGAAATTCAATTTAAATTCGATTTTAATTTATGATTAAAAAATTTTCTTTCTTTTTTATCATATAAGAATTACAAGTTTTCAAAATAGAATTAAAAATAATAATGTGTTATATATTTTATTTTTCAATTCTAGAAATTATATTTTTAATATATAATTTGAAAAAATAAAAATGGATAAGAAATATAAATACCTTTATTTTTAACGAAAATAATATTTTTCCGTATAATTTGTATGTAATTAACTAAAATATGATAATCTAACTAACCTTGAGATAAGTAATCCTCCATAAATCACAATATTATTTTAGCAGATATCTATTTGAAAATATTTTATGTTCTCCAAATTCTAAAATTATCAAGTTATCAAAATTTGCTAGAACATTTTTCAACTATTCAGACAAATAATAACTCAATTTCATTTATATTTATAATTTCAAAAATAACGTGCTATGCAAATAAGAATTTCAAATATTCTAAACACTTTCTTAATGAAAAAAAAAAAAATATTATTGATTCATCTATTTTAATTACTAATTAATCTTTCTCTATTCTTCTCTGTTCTCAAACACCTTTACATTATTAATCATTAATATTCTTCTATTCTTTATCAAACACTTCTATCTCAATAATTATTGATATTTTCTCTATCAAACACTTCAATATTACAAATAACCAACTCTCCTCTATTCTATCACTAATTATTATCAACCTTCTTCTTATCGCCATTAAACTTTTTGCACTGATCAACGATCGTCCAATTCCCAAAAACAACTGTTGCCTTAGAAAACAAAGGAAAAGAAAAAAAAACTATCAAAGAATAATGTCACATAATCACACACTCTCGATTGATACTCTCCATCCGCCACCTGTGTGCACGTGTGTACACAAAGGGGCGCGCATGGCGCTGGCGCACGCCTACAATCATATGAAACCTGCGCGCCACGAGGCAACATCGCCAGTGCCATTCGTCGCCGCAGTGCGATACGGTCGATAGAAGAAAGACGACAGTTAACAGTGATTCCAGCTGCCGCAGCATCGCCATTCCACGATTTTTCCCTCGAATCGACACCCGACCACCCCTTGTCGAGGGTGTCCACGCTTCATTTCGCTTCGGGATGCCGTATGTGCGGCATCATGACGCGGCTACGATTGAATAAGAGTTTTGCGAATGTGGCGAGGTAAATTGGTGTCTCTCGGGGGGTTAATGTGTGAAGGGACAGCTGGTTTTGAATGACGGAATGATTGGAGTGTTTTTAAGCTTTTATTTATTTTCGTGATTTCGAGAAAATGGTTTTTAAAAATATTTATTTTTCGTTTTTGGTTTTTGGAATTGGGAAATTATGGATATTGAAATTTAAATAATTGATGGTGTTCGATCGGTGGTTGAATCGAGAGAATTTGTTTTAATATTTAAAAAGATAGTATACTATAGATTGAGAATTTGAGGCAATTGTTTATAAAATTATTTTTTCTTTTTTTAATTCTTTTTGAAAGGAAATAACCATGAATGTTAAAAATTTAAACAATAAAATAGATCTTGATTTGAATATCTTTCTTCTGAGAAATATTCTAGATATAGATAATACAATACAGTTTAAAAAATTCGAGAATTTTCAGTAATATTTTTTTATTTCACTTTATTTTCGAAAAATGAATATTGAAAAAATTTCTTTTTATTACACCGATACTTTTTCTTCATATTTAAATATATTTCTGTTTAACGTATAAAAACATATTTATCTTATCTCATTAATTTTAATCTTTCTGTCTTCGATATTCATTTAATCCATCGTTAAACTGTCAATACTCGTCTGTTCCATTGATTAAAACAAAACTTCTTGTCGGACGTGACTGACATCAATAAAGATCTAAAATAAAAAGTATCAATAGTTGTCAACATCCGATCGTTCCGTCGGATAACATCCAAAAATTATCACGATCACGAGGGCGCCGGAAGTAGAGAGGAGGGAAGAGGAATTCGTGCCGATTCCGCGTTTCAGCAACGTATTCGTGTGCCACGAGTGAACTAAAACTGTTTCGCTCGGCCTCGTGGTCGAGCCGTGACATTGGACTTTCTTGGAATCTGTTTACACGCGTGTCACCGCAAAAATCGTGGAATCCTCGACCTTTGCGCTCCTGTCTATCGATCATTGTCGGTGGATCGCAACTGTGAATTATACAACTGTCCGAGGATTTAATTCGATTCGTAACAATCGATAATGTGAATCAATTGCATTGCATTGATTGTGATCAGTGGATTGGTTTTAAATTGAGTTAAGAACGATTTTTTTTTTTTTTCTATTATAATTGTGATGATATAGTTATGCATTTATTAAACTTATTGTCTGTAATTAATTAGGAGTTGGGAAAAGTGATTGATTATAATTTTTATAATTTTATACGTTATAATTCATCATTTTCAATTATAATTTCCCACTTATCAGTGAAGTTCTGTGAAAATTTGAGAAATTAGTTATCACGAGTAAATCAAGTGTTAGCATGAAAAAATTCTCGAAGTGACTATTTCTCGTCTGCTGTATTGTTTATTATTAATCGATACTTCTTGCGATTCTCCAAGTATCTAAAAATAGAATTATTTCTACATAAAATTCAAACTCGTTGAAAAACTATTTACCAGTGAACTTCCAAGAAAAAAATTCAAAAAAGAAAAAAAATTGTGATTCGATTCGTAACAATCGATAATGTGAATCAATTGCATTGCATTGATTGTGATCAGTGGATTGGTTTTAAATTGAGTTAAGAACGATTTTTTTTTTTTTCTATTATAATTGTGATGATATAGTTATGCATTTATTAAACTTATTGTCTGTAATTAATTAGGAGTTGGGAAAAGTGATTGATTATAATTTTTATAATTTTATACGTTATAATTCATCATTTTCAATTATAATTTCCCACTTATCAGTGAAGTTCTGTGAAAATTTGAGAAATTAGTTATCACGAGTAAATCAAGTGTTAGCATGAAAAAATTCTCGAAGTGACTATTTCTCGTCTGCTGTATTGTTTATTATTAATCGATACTTCTTGCGATTCTCCAAGTATCTAAAAATAGAATTATTTCTACATAAAATTCAAACTCGTTGAAAAACTATTTACCAGTGAACTTCCAAGAAAAAAATTCAAAAAAGAAAAAAAATTGTGATCAAGGAAAAACTTTCATAACCTCAACATAACTATACATCTGCTATATTATCTCTTCCATCCTATATAATCGAAAATAAAAATAGAATTATTTCTACATAAAATTCAAACTCGTTGAAAAACTATTTACCAGTGAACTTCCAAGAAAAAAATTCAAAAAAGAAAAAAAATCGTGACCAAGGAAAAACTTTCATAACCTCAACATAACTATACATCTGCTATATTATCTCTTCCATCCTATATAATCGATCCACGTTGTTATTCTCAAAGGATCTACTTCTCGACAATAAGTTATCTCTTAAAAAGAAAAATAAAATTCAAAAGATTATCTACCTAGTGAAGATCCAGTGGAAAAATTCGAAAACAAAATAAGAAGAAATAATCGTACAACGAGGGAATCTCCTCCTTTAACGTGGATCTACTTTTTTCATTAAAATTATCTCTTTCACCCTATTGACCGATCCACGTCACGATTTTAGACGATTCATCTGCTGAGAGTGGGCGTTCTGGCGCCAGAGGGTTGCTAATCGATTCCAGCCTCCTCTCAAAGATGTTTCTAACGTTTCGAGTTTTTACGTGGTAATCGTGGAGGGTCCGTGGTCGATCGAAAAGGGGACGGCAGCCAAGGGGGACTTTTCCCACTGGCTCTCAACACTGTAGCGGAAAATCGATCCGGCGTGACAGCCACCCTATTGCAACCACCCACCACGGTGCAATGACCTCGAAACCAGGAAGGTCCTACAGCGTGAGGTAAGAAGGAATCATTATAGAGGAAATAATAAGAATTTTTTTTCTTTGGAGAGAAAAAAATTAGAATAATATGGTGCTGAGTGAAAATTATTGTAGAGTAATTAATGCTGAAAAATATTCTCGAAAATATTCTTATCTTAAAAAAGAAAGATAATTTTTTTTTCGTTCCAGAATTGTTTTTTTCTATATCGAAAGTGAAAATTACTGTCACTCTCAATTCTGTGTCTTTGCTCGGGAACAAAACAGTAACGGGAACAGAATTATTTTTCGTCAATGGACACTGCATGAGATTATTGAAAATTACTGATCGTGAAAAATATTTTCGATACAAATTCTCGAGTATTTATACATCGAAAAAAAAGAAGCGAGCAAAAAAAAAAATAATTAAATCTGAAAAATTATTTTTTTATATCATTAATAGATACCTTTAACATTAAAAATTACTCCCGAACAATCATTCTCGATACAATACCCATTTCTGAAAAATATTCTCTCGTGAGTATCCGCGCCCTAAAAGAAGGAAGCAAGGAAGACAGAGGCGGAGAAAATAGCCATGTGACTCCCTTTCGTACATACGTCTCGACGTCTACGACTTTCGTCTCGACGTTTTTCTCTATTTCACTTCCGGTCGCCGGATTTTAAAGCTGATTCTAAAGTTGAACGCGGCTTTAAGGGCCTCGTGTTATACACTCGATCGGTCTGGCGCACGAATACCAAGCTTGGAATTTTACGTCGCGTTTGTAGAAAAACTATCGTTCCATTTTCCACGTTCCTATCGTTCTGACGTTTCGTTTCCTTCGTTCCTTTTTCGAACGTCCGTTTACATTACACACGTTATCTTTTCTCGTTTTGTCTTTGCTTCTCCGTGTGTCGTTCTTGTTTACTGATCGTCTACGCTTGCAAGGGAGAAGGAATAAGTAATTGGTAAAATTACAACCGTGACATACGTTAATCTCGAAACGGATCATGCTTCCATGCGAAATGAAATGGTGGAATGGCTTCTTAAATTAAGAATAAGGTTAGGATTTTCTAAATGACGTTAGGGATATATGTGTGGGATTATGTATGTATATATACGTTGGATTTATTGAATGTTTTTTTATATTTAGCGTTGAAATAACGTAATTTTTTTTCTTTTTCTGTTAATATTAATACATTATTTATTGTTTAATTACTTATTTACTATCAATTTATTATTATATTAAATAGTAATTGTAAATAATTAAATAAAATTTTCGATAGTACAATAGGGGAAAGCAATATTTTTATAGATTGTGCTCTTATAGTTTTGAAAGTTAGCTAGAAAAGTACGAGATATCCTAATATAATAAAATATTATGTAATAAAATATTTATTATGTCCATTTCATTTTCATTTTCTAGAATACGTTAAAATGCATAGTATATTACTAAAATCATTACACCACGTATTTACAATTTCGCAGAATGTAAAATAAAAATGAGAAGGAATACAAGAAATGTTAAACATTCGGATAAACATACAATTCGAGAAGTGTCACCTATTTTTCAAGACTTGTTTTGGTGAATAAGACTTGGAAGACTTTTTTCAACGTTTTTAAAGAGCACGCATGAAACATGTTGATTGTATATCTATTTTTTTCTCTTTTTGAAGAAACCAAAGTACTCTCGAGCTCATTGTGCCCCGTGTTCTTTACGTACGAATGCCTTCTATTCTCCTCTCGACGCCCATTGTCCGATTCTTCTTCAAAATAAAAAGCGCTATTGAAATCGCGAGGAATAAAAATTACAGAGAAAAAAAACTTAACAACGTTGTAATATTTTATCACAGTCGAAACAATTTTCCCTGTTTCTTCAAATTAATTTTTCGACGAGTAATTGAAGATCGATTAATTTTAATGACATACCATCGAGACACGTATCTAATAATCATAATTTTATATTTCAAAGCTGAAGGTAGAAGAGAGAGATGTTAAAAATGATTGATCAATCATTACTTTTGTATCCTTTCCAGTCTAATCAACTCGAGAAATCGTAAAAAATTTCTTTATTAAAGAGATATATTACAAAATTTGTTTTAATTCCAACTTCTAATTTCCAATAATGCTTATGTAAATATATTAAAATAGATATGCATTTCATATTAATAATTTTTTTATTTTCTTGAGAAAATATCGAAAAGTCAATATTTGGTGAAGAAAAAAAATTAAAATAAAAGTTATTAAAAAAATTATGAGAATCAGAAATGACTATTCGAATATCCATTTCTACACAATAATTAAAACAAAATACATTACATTACAAATTGAAAAAATCTTATTTTCTTAACTTTTTTATAAGTATATTCAAATATTCATTTTTTATATTCTTAAGAAAATATCGAAAGATTTTTCTGCATCTCTATTGTTTGTTTATTGTTTTTTGATTCTTTTGATCCGTCAAGAAAGAAATTATTAAAAAAAATATTTTTAAATCATTAATAAGAAAATTATTAAAGAAAATATAAATATTTACAAAGATTAAAAGTAAAATGTGTTACGTCATAGCATTCATTTCAACATCAATTCAGAAAATTCTAATTTCCTTAATTGAAATTAAGTTTGTATCCTTGGTATCCTCTGCAGAAATTAATTATGCATTGCGAAAATGAATCGCCCATAAGTATGGCGCTGCGTGAAACTTTTCAATTTGTCAAAAAATCGTCGCAAGAGGGAGCTTCGACTGGTGGACGATTATTATTTCACTGTGAAAGGGCCTTTTCACACAAATACATGGCGGGATGTTCGCCGCGGCGAGATTATTCCGCGACTAAAGGATATTTCTGACCGAGAATGTGCAAAACTATGCTCGACAAGTCATTTCTGCGCAGGGAGAGATGTTATTCGAAGAAACATATCGAGCGGAACAATAACTCTTTTGTGTCGGGATATCTGCGTGTAAAAATTCTTCTGCCCTTTCACCGCCATTCGTTTCATGTTTAGAATTTAATATGGATGAATCCGATGGAAAGTGATGATTTTTATTCTGCGAGAAATAAATTAAATGCCATTAGAAGATATTTTTATGGCTTTGAATATAATCATTGCAAGATTGTAATGATTATTCCCTAAGCTAAAATATAATTAATACGAGTAATTAATATATATATATATAATATATATATATATATACTTTATTTAATTGACTTATTTATATTCTATTCAAGTTCTATTAAAGTTTTTATACTCAAATTAAAAGTTTGGATTTATAATATGACAATTATATTTTTATAATACATTTAATTGCAAAATATTCAAATTTAAACTAAAATAATTTAAATGCAACTTTTAAGAAAAAAAATCAAGTCTCATACAAAGTGTTTAACTTACTTCACAATTTTTATTTCTTTTTATTCTTTCCGGCACTTTCACCATCGTTATACGTTTGAAGAATAGTTATAATCACTCTTAGCAGAAGCCTTCTTCCTTGTTTTCTGAATTCCCGTTTAATTTCTCGGTGTATTTCCGACTCTGATTTGAGATATTGCCACTATACACAACATAAAGAAGAGAGGAAAAAGAAAGCAACGAAAAAAACTCATTAACGTAAATGAAATCGAAAAATCTATAGCATCAAACATAAACTTGACACGTGATTCAAACTTCAATTTATTAAATAAATATAATATCTATAAATATACATATAGCATAATACATATATATAATATCTTCGATTTTCTGACCGCGTGTTTTGTATCGAGCGTGAGTTCTTACGTCGAATCACCTATTTTCCGAGGATTTCTAAGCTTCTAAGCTTATGTTATGCAGTGTAAACAACTTGTTCTTCTTGTTCTCTATTTTATCTTTTTTGCACGATGCCTTCGTTGAATTTCACAGACAGTAATCACTAGCATTTTTTATACACTAATTATTTGATATTTGGAAAAATGAAAGATCTTATAAATTTTTGATGCATTAATTTATTTGATTAATTGATAATAGAATATTTTTTTCTTTTTCTATTTAATTATTTACCTGTTTATTGATTTTAACCTCTTCTATACAGTGCTGTTACGTATACGACTAAAATCTACAATCTATCTGAAAAAATTAATGATCTTTATATAATGATCTTATATAAATTATATAAATTATATTATTTGAACAATTTTTTTCTTTATATATAATCAGATGTTGATTTTTTTAATTATTTTCAAAAAAACTTGATGCTATATTATTGAATTTATCTATACGTATACGTCTAACAATATATGCATCTAGCAGTTGCAGTACAAACAGTAACGCCACCACTGAACCACGAATTATTAGTCGACTCTCTTTTCTCTCACTATCTTTTGTCCTTAAGTTTTTCAAATCTCTTAATTTCTCGTCTGCTTGCATGATCATCGCCATTATTTTTACAAATTTTTTACGAAAATCAATAAGCTTTTGAAAGTCTTTCTTTCGATTTTAGTGCGGTGTGTCTGGTTCGAATATGTTAATATCAAAACAAATCATAACCTCAAATCATAACCAAACAATAAGAGCAAAACCACAAAGTTTACATAGAGTTTCAAATTCTCAGCAAAAAAGTTGATATCATTGTGAATTTCCACCCACAAAATACGCAAGTATTGATATTTTCCCACGTTTCAATGTAAACAAAATCTCGTTTACATAATATCCTTACGAAGATATTGCTTGTAAGTATTTGACGCGCAAACAATAAGCATATTGATAGAATTTATTAGGTTCACCGCATCTCATATTCAAAAGCAATTTCTGGAAGAGAAAGGTGCGGCAATGGGAATGGCAAGTTGCATTTCATGATTTCCTTTCTATTACTTATTCATCGTGGTTATCGATCGTTTATTCTAATTAACTAGTGGCATTTCATGAAGAATGAATGATGTTGAATTTTATTGAAGTTAGTATTTCACGATTTTCAAGGCACGTTCTTATGACTATCACGATTCTTTATATTACTTCTTAACAAGTCAGAAATTTATGGATCTCGGAATTCATTTTATTGAAAGGTCTGTAT